AATTGATTCATTTTTGTCATAAATATGCTTGTCTTATTTTCGCTTGAAAATCTAAAATTCTTTTCTCCTTAGTTCTCTTCATATTTTCTTTCAGTAGTCTGCAAATTATACACAACTACCGTGTTTAATTGCATGTATTTTTTCTTCTTCTGTACATTGAATTTTCTTCTCAGGCGAAGATTTCTTCAGAAGAGGAGAAGTTCTTCACTGCTCTGTTGGACGATTTGGACAGACAGTACGATGCCTTAAAGGTAATATAGCCTTTAAAACCCAACCAAGTAGCAACCAAACCCCTAGTTTTCAATTTTTTTTATCCACATTGGTTTGTAATTTCAAACCATATGGGTGAGTGTGCCAGACACCTCATGTAATAGTGCATCGATATGGAGGATAGTAGAAGCGAACTGGGAGATATATTCCGGTTAGCGGATTTCACAGAGTTTAGGCTTGCCTGGGTGAAATCGGAGAATGAAGGAGAGAGGTTTGTGGTTCGCTAATATGGTGAAGCACCTGTCTACATGTAAGTTCCAGAATTTTCTCACAGGTCTCGTCCAAATGTATTTTTGTGCGTGTGCATGGGTGATAAGGTTCTGGAGAATAAAAGGAGAACTTGATAGGATATGCAAGGTGCTGTTGGAGGACCGTGCTGACTGCAGCATTAGAGAGATCGACCATGACGGAAGTTGGTGAATCGGCAGCAAATTGGGTCAGAAGGGTGGCGTCGGCTCAGAGACGCCAGAGACCAATGTCTGAGTAGAGGAAATAGGAAACGAAGGGGAGTAAGGAAATATTGAGGGACTGGGGCCGAAGTTGGGACAGGGACGGTCCGCCTCTGTTGGAGGAATACAGATCAACTGTGCACCAGTATCGACCAAGAAAGATCTGTCATTCCAGTCGTCACAGGCGTAAAGAATGCGGCCGGAGCTGGAGGCTGCCAGGGAGACTGGTCGCAATGACTTTAGGGTTGATCCGTTTCGCCTGTTACCTCTGGCTGGAGAAGAGAGAACTGAGCGAATTTATAGGGACCGGCTTTGGTACCAATGGCGGTATAATATTAGTCGGTGATCGCTGTGTTGGACAAAGATGAATAAATAGGGTGGACATACCGTTAGACAAACTAGATGGGCTCCGGAATTCGGGAAGGGTACCTGTTATTGAAGAGGAGTCAATTCGTTGGCTAGCCTCACTGTCTGAGCTTTTGAACCTGAGAGAGGTAACGAATGAGAAGCTGTGGGAGTTAGATTTGAGGCGACTGGGCGCTTGACGGAGCCGTCTGTCCGCATCGATCGGTCAGCCATCTGAGTGAATTGGGAGGCTGAGGGAAAGAGCCAAAAGCAGGGGTACAGAAGCACTCCTGGTAAGGAATTGTTCGATTCCCAACCAACGGACACTCACTCACGCCGCACTCAGATAGCCTTGCATGTTTCTGGAAAGGCTAGGTATTACTTGAGCAGATTTTTGGCGCACCAAACATCCATCATCACGTGACACGCTTCTTCAATTTCCTACTCTGATGCTAAAAAATAAACAATTTTTTTCCCTTGATAATATTGCCATCCTAATTTAACCGACGATTTTCTCCAGGGAACCTCGAACCGTCATCTGCGCCTGGCCAACTCTCTCCTGAGCTTTGTTGAGAAAGCGGGTGATTTGTTGTCCTGGCTGGAGGAGAAAGAATCGGTTGAAATTTTTCGAGACTGGACACCCGCTCACCAGTTGCAGTCAGCCGAGCTTTACGCGTACTTTCAGGTAAGTCGATTCAATGTTTGATTCCAGGGCCGAGCCCGTATCTGTGTCTGGCATGCGTCAACGCCCCCCTCCCCCCTCTTACTTCTCCCTGTGCTACCGGTCATCTGCCAGTCGCCTAAGCCCTGGAGTTACGGTCCTGCGCTAATTGCCGTCCCC